GATTTACCAAGGTTTTCTCAACACAGAATTGTAATTAATTTATTCATTTTCAGGCGTATTTCTGAGGGTGTAGCAGGCTGAGACAGTGTGCATCACTGACATGCAGTGACAGCAGGATTAGTAAAAGCTAGAGCCCTAGTTACTAGGGAGGAAAGTGACTGTTGTAAACCTTCCTCATATTTTGTTTTTCCATTGCTTTTTGGTTTTTTTTTTTTTTTTTTTTTTTTTGTAATGCAGTGCTACTTAGGTGAAAGCAATGCAGACCTTACACAGGTGCTGCGGCACTGTGTATCCTAATGGTGTAGGACTTACAGAAGTCTATGTCCTTTCAGTGTCGCTCTTTTGTGAAGTGCTGTATGGTCTTGGCAGCGCTCTGCAGTCAGCTGCAGAGGAATTGGAGAGACAAGAATTCCATACGCTGAACCGTAGTGCATCAAGTCAGCTACCCTCTTCTTGCTGAAGGAAGAAGTAAATGTGCACAGTCGTATTTCTGGTATTTCCTAATGTTAGAGTATTTGCAGCTTCAGCATTCTTTTTGACAGTTTTTCAGAGCAGTATCTAGTAGCCTAGATGTTGCACTTGGAATGTCAGAAGTCATGGACAGAACAGAAAATTTGAGATAAGACTTGCTGAAATAGGTATTAGAGTTCTGTTTCTTCCTGAAAGGGAAACGGTAACCCTGAGTTCTACAACGCTATCTGAGAAATGTTCAGCTGTTCGTGTGTTTGAGACTGGAAAGACAGTAACGATGCTCATCTCGTTCGCATTCTTATTCAGGAAGCAACCTAGGCTGAAATACTGAAGAGTTTCTGATTGCTCAGGATTGGAAAAGATCCATTTTCAACAGTGTGGCAGTGCTCCACAGCTGAACAGCAGCTGACACAAGTCTATATTGTCAGAGGACATTCGGAGAAGCTAGTAATTGTACTTATTCCTTTTGACAGATGGAGCTCATCTAGACGTAATTGAAAGGAAAAGCCCAGCATGGTGTGTGAGCTTTTTTTTTTTTTTAATATGTTTTGTGCTTAATATTATTTTTTTCCCACCTTTCTTTTGTTCTGTTACTGGATATAACATATGGTAAGCAATAGCTGCAGAAATTCTGAAAAAGTTGCAGAGTAGAAACCTAGTAAATGAAAAGCCTGGAGGAAAATGTGAAATATCTGAATATTATTCCTCCTTCTGATTTGAAAAGAAAACAAAAAAGTTTAAATATTGAAAATTTGAAATTGTTTGAAACAACTCTCTTGCAAATATCCTATTTCAAAACTTATAAAAATGAAACTAGTTCAAAATCTTAGTGATTTGGGGTTTTTTTCCTCCTTTTATGACCACTTGCATTGCAACCTACTGTCACTGGATCGCCTTTGTGCAGATATCTTTTATCATATAGAGAGAGACTCTGCCAGCAGAATATCCACAATTTAAAACTATAAAGGAATTATCTGTTGGCTAATATAGTAGCTAGCTGTGGTTAACGTGCTATTGGGCTAAGCATTAATGCCTACCACTGCTCTTGAGACGCTTTGAGTCTCTACCTACCAGACAGCCATCAAATGGGGGAATGTCAGCCCCTGACACGCCTTGGATCTAGCTGGTTCTCAGTGTGACTGAGTTGCTGTCTTCCAGTTCTCTGCTTTTTAGGTTTTGCTCTTTTCTTGTCAGTTCTTTTCCTCATCAATCCTTGAGCTGCTAGCTATTACAGTCTCAACAATTACATTTATATCTGTTTTTACCTAGTTTGCATGGCTTTAGTTTATGTTCTTTCTCGCACCTAATTTTCTCAGTGAATTTGAAGCTTGAAGCTCACTGGTAAGAAGAATGTATCGAAGTTTTGCAATTGGGGATCCTGTAATATTGAATACTTTCATCAATAACTTGTTTCATAGATGGAAGAGTGTGCTTATACGTTTACAGCTGACATGAAAACAAGCACTATGAACTGAAAAAATGACCTGAAAAACTCATCTGCAGTTCAGTAAAGCTAGGGATAATGTAATTGTATACTGTGGATTATTTCTAATTATATGGTGAAGAAAGAAAGTCTAAGCAGAAGCTGTGCAGATAAGGATCTAGGTTTTGTAGCAGATCACAAACTTAAACATGAGTCAATATATTACTCATCGAAAAATGCAAGCAGTTGTACCTGGTTGGGTTAAGTGTTATTGTATTCTTCAGCCAAGTTGCTATCAATAATGTTTTCATTTAGTGACTAGCTCATTCCCTGTTAGAAAAGGATGTAGAACTTTAAAAATGCAAAGTTTGACTTCTTAGTTCCTCTGAACGTATAGTGAATAAAGGGATGGTGACATTTATCTGCTATAAAAAACAGGACGATTTCCAAGTTAACTTAGACAAAACACCCTTAAAGAGACTCAAAAAAATGGGAAAATCTGTAAAATGTTTAAGCTCAGGGAATCTGTACTTGGCCGTTACTGTTTTGCACGTGTAAATCTGATGTTTGTGGGGACAGTTGGCCAGCTCAGCTTTGTGTATGAATGACCACCTTCAGCTGTTATTTTAACAAGAGCATCTACTGGCTTCTGCCATGGGTCAGGCCTCTGCAGGTATAGGACTTTGCAGACACTTAATTAAAATTAGGTTTTGCTACATAGACCATGGTAATTTAAAAAATGCAGAGAATATGTAGTGAAGAGAGCTCTGGGAGTGGAAGAAAACATGACACTGAAACAACAGGATATGGTAGGTTAAGTAAAAGTTGCAGCACAGTATCGGGTGTGCAGTCTGCACGTGGAATATTTCAGTATCTGAGGCAGGCCTGCCTGTCCTCCATCACAAGGTTACGATAGTGACTGTTCCATTTGTTTCCAGACCCATACAGCTCTAAATGTGGAACTCTTCTTCCTTGTGCTTGCAATTAGTTCTTAAGAAATTTGCTCAGCCTATGTAGCTCCACCTCACAAATTTATCTCTTGAATTATCTGAAGGAAAACTGTTTGTTCTTTAATTGCAGCCATGATTCTTATTGTCATAGCGTGTTGGGAGAGAAAAGCTTGTTGAATAAGCTCCAGTGAATAAACTTTCCTAGTAGCCTGGAAGGGTAGAAGGAGGTCAAAAGGGAAGATGATGAGATACCTGTTAATTCTGGATATGACAAGAACTCTTTCAGAAGTGGACGCTTCAGAGCAGAATAAAGTAGCTTCAGATGGTACGTGCACAGCTGTTGCTTCCCTAGGCAGACCTCTGTTGTAAAGCAGAAGTGATCTGCTCTGTCAGTGAGGCTCTCATGTTCCTCGCCATGTCTCTCCTGACTGTACAGCTCCTGAAATTGCCATGGGTGCATAGATGCTTTCCCTGGGAGCTGACTTCATGCCCTGTCCTTGGAAACCTCAGGCAGGTGGGGTTTAATGCAGCCTATGACATTCTCCATACAATGAGGTGCACGTGAAATTATTACTTTTAGCTGAAATGATCGACTGCTATAACTGGCTAAAAAAAGTTTTATGCCAAGTACTGCAGACCTGAGAATCAATTTTTAAGAGACTGTAAAAGCAGGGAGAAATAATGGCATTCTTCCCTCCCTGATGGCACCTCATGAAAACCTTACCTGTTAGGAAGGGATAAACCACATTATAGTAAGCTGAATTGCTACCCTTTACTTCTATGTAGTTATGCCAATGGTGCTTACTTACGGGTAGGTACTATGGAAATGCGGACTAACCAGAAAAATCTACCCTGAGCTCAGAAGAGGGGCCCCAGCTGAGGAAACAAAACGCCAGGGGCTTCTGGGGTTAAACCAGAGGGAGATTCTTTGAGCTATTAGCATTTGCTAGGATGTGGGAATAAGCTGCTGTGGGGAAACCAGCTTCAGGTGCCATGTGCTGCCTTTGTTTGCCATTATAGGCAGGCAAAGAGATTGCCACATGAAATGTCTGCGCTAGTTAGAGGGAACTGGAGGAAATTTAGGAATTAATTTGCAACTCTGAATTATTACAGCTTGACAACAAACTTTGTAAAATCCTGTAATTTCCTTAGCTCCCTTGTTGCACTGGAGTTTAGTCTTAGACCAGTTATGGTGGGGGGCTGGAGGAGGGGGCTGGAGGAAAAGAGAAAACGGCGCTTGGGGCACACTGATCCGTGGGCCAGCCCTGCTGGGTCTGAAGTTCTCAGTCCACTTCTCTGAGTATCCTCTGCAGCGTAGGGAGCTGCGAGAGGCACTTGGCTGGCTTCTTCCAGGTGCACTGTGCTTGCAGGCCAGCCGTGGGTGAGCTCTGGTGTGTAGACCTGAGGAGCTCAGAAAAGCATGGATCAGGGGTGCAGCCAGGCCTTTGGTGGGTGGAAGAAGATTTTGATTCCTTCAGAATCTTTCCAGAGAAAGTTCAGGGGTGTCTCCTGAGACGTGATGCACTTGCTGTTTCTTTGCATATGAGATCTGTTATGCTTTTTGTCAATAGTACTAGCTATGTTTGATTCCTCACTGTGCTATTTGCAGTTCATCTGTATTGTTTACCGTGAAAACTCAGATTACAGCACATCCTTGCTCTTGGTTCCCAAATCCGCATTTGCAAACACTCTTATACAAGGCTACCGACTGCCTCCTTTTGCCTCCGCCCCAAGAATGCTACCCGGTGAGTGCTCCTGTCCTTGTCTGTGTGCGTAGCACCTGGATGATCACTGCGGTATCTGAGCTCTTGGCTTGCATGTAGCCAGTGCTTTGAGTGACATGTTCTATCAAACTGATTGCTCAAAGGGATGGTTCTGAATGAAACTTCTATGAAATGCCTTATAGCCTCTATTGGATCGTAAAGTGATGGTAGCTATTAGCATATTGCAGCATAGCGATGTATTAAACACACTCAAGAATGGGAACACTCGTCATTTTCTGAGCTCAGGAAGTGTGGTAGGAAAGAAGGGAGGAGAAAAAATCAGAAAGCTTAAACGTGACAGGGAATAGTTAAGAACAACAATATTAGAGTCATTTCAACAGACAGATACATAGCAGTTTTCTCAGTGACAGAGTAGTTTGGAGGTGTGAATTGATGATAAGTGTAATTCTCATTTCCCTGGTTTTGTTTCTTCTGGGTGCGCAGTTCCTGAAATTGCAATGGAAAAGTTGTGGATATCCTCCTGGACCAACTCCATTTCCCATCACTGGAAGCATCTGGTGGATAAATTTTAGAGCTGATCATGGGAGCCTGAAAAAGGTATGCATTTGCAGGTGTGAACTAAAGAGCTATTGAGGCAAAAACTGTAAAAACTAGTGATGGCTGTTGATTGATAGGCTGATGTGGAAGCCAGAAGAACTTAATCCTGAGGGAAGGTGAATCATGGAAGTTAAATTAAGTGCCTAAACAAGTTAAGTAAAATCTGCAGAGAGTCTAATTCATGTGAAAGCTAATATGCGTGCAAGGTCAACAGAACTGAGGACAGTAATTTTGCCTCAAATAAGACTTCTGTTTTTGAGGGAGGCTTTTTGTCTTGAATAAAAAAAAAAGTGTTTCTTAGATTTCTCACCACAGGCACATACAGAAAATCTTCTAAAACAAGGTGTCTTGAATTCAGAAGATGTGAAAAGCACACCAGTATGTCTTCTGCTATCATGGTATGGGAACAAGATTGTATCCCATATGCAGCCAAAACCTTAGCTCCATTGTTTTCTGAAGTCCAGTCTGAGAATTGCTCCTTGCAGATGAGCTAAGGATGTAAATGATGGTGAAAGGAAGGAACTGATGAGAAGAATTAGATCTATGCTATGCATGTTAATACATGTTCTTTCAGTGCTCAACATCCTCCACTGAGCCAAAACTTCACAAAAGAATCCAATGTGTTGATATATTTTTCAAGTTGCAACCTTTCCTTAGGTGCTAAGTGCAACCAGCATGTCGGGGGTACCTGGCTGCAGCTGGAGAATGTTGGCTTCAGGAAAAGAGAACTTAAAAGACCTTGATGACAAACTTTTCTGATGGGTATGTGTTCATCACTGTGGAAGGACAGAGCTGTACGGTTTCTTTGCCTAGTCAGGGACTTCGTCCTTGCTGAACACCCGCAGGGTTGCCTGAGAGCAGTCCCAAAGCAGAGGTGGGATCTGTGCTCAGATGCCTCAGCTGGCAGTACTTCTGTATAAGAGGGGAAGAGGACCTGCCATTGAAACTTGAAATCTGCGGTACTAAAAGGAGAGTTACACCTGGAATATGTAATGTCAAGAAGTTCTAGTTGTTGGCTGAGGAAATGAAATATGGAGTTGAAAAATGTAATCAAGAATGGGCAGGTGAAGTTTCATGTGAAACCTAATATGGATCTGTGAACACTAAGACAGGGGCATTTTCCTGATGGTTAATATTGCAAAGGCAACCCAAGCCAAGTTTTAAAAAGGGGAAGAGCATCTACTCTTTTGTCAGTCACATTGCTGTGAATAGTGGGTTCCCAGAGAGAGCCCAGAACCTTACTGTGGTAAGCACTCTCACTGCAAAACAAAATCACCATCCCTTTTCAGTTCCTGAACCCCTGAGTGATGTCATGCTGGAAGAGAGCAGCCCATCATGTGTGCATTTTGGTTGATGTTTCTCCCATGGGTATTTTTTCTGGCATTGATCTAACCTACAGCTGGCAAATATCTATGGCAACATCTGCACCCTGTGGCAGGGTCACAAACCTATGGTGGTGCTGTATGGATTCCAAGCCACGAAAAACGGTCTCACCACCAACTCAGAGGACGTTTCCAGGCGACTACAGACCTATGTCTTCAACAGAATGGCAAATGGAAAGGGTAAGAGGTTCGTATCTGTGGAAGGACTTAATCCTTGACTTTCTTTGTTTCTTCTCATGTTTTCCTTACTGACAAGCCCTTAGTTCCCAATTCACCTGTTCTGTCTGCTCAGGGTGAATGATATAATTCTGCAGCATTACTCTAAGTTGTCTCTAAAGTCCCACTGTCACACATGTATTTCAGAATCTCATCAGAGCAGCAATATTTGTACCTAGCTAAGTCTTGCTTGTCCGTTCGTAGTGTTGTCTAACTGTGTGTCCTGATTTGAAATAATCTGGAGCTTGCAGCCTCCTCTGCAAGCTGCGGCTAAAGTAATTCTTTATGCTCCCAATTGTTTGTTTACAGCAAAGGCTGCTGTGAGGAAAGCATGTACAGAGCTGTGGAACAAGGTCTAGCCTTTTGGGAAGTCTGAAGGCACAGGAAGGTCACTGGAGCTTTAAATGTATTAGGCAGACTGTAGGTGCAACATATGCTTGTTCAGAGCTTCTTATTGCGCTATCATTTACCTCAGACACTGCTGAATTGCGGTGGATGGAGAATAAAGAGGGTGCTGCATTTAAAACAGAAATCATTGAACTTGTTGCCACCAGCCTCTTACCTAAAGGATATAGAGCAGATGCCTTTATCCTCAGTCAGGCGTTGTTGCATGTGGACTGCAATCTGGAAAGCTTTAATTTATAATACTAGCTAATGTAAGTAGAGAAAAAACATCTTTAAGGAATAGAGATTATTAAGTCTGGGGCCATTTCAGTCCATTTGGAAGGGTCTTTATTGCCACCTTTTATCTGGGTGATGTGGAGTAAAGCAGCTGGGCTGTGACAAGCTGCCCTAGCACTAGCAATTTGTAGCAGGGATGGCTTTAACGTACAGCTGCAAGTTGGCAACTCTGCAACACAAATACCTGCCTGTTGGGTTGGCTCCTTTTCTGCTGGCCCAGGCTCCCAGGACAACAGAAGGAAGAGGGGAGAGTTATTCCAGACTGGTCAAGCAGCTGTCTCAGGGAGCAAGCTGGCTTTCCCAGGGGAAGCGTGGTCTAGACTGGTGGAGGGAAGGGATTCCCTGCCATGTGGACTAAACGGTTTATGCTGAGCTATCTGCTAGAACGCAGACTCGTGGCACAGGGGCCTGGGATTTCTTCCTGTCCCACAGTGAGACCTCTGGTCCTAGGAACCTGTTTGTAGGTTGGCTAAAGCCTGCTCTTCCTACTCTGGTTCTTGCTAGGCGTTTTTTGCCCTGGCTTCATTGTCTTTCCAGGAGGGGCCTGGACCAGGACGAGAGTTTGATATCTGGTGTAAACAGCCTGGTAAAAGCAGGATCCCCTAAAAGCCAGAGACTGTGTAGCACAGACAACGTGCTCAGAACCTGTTATCAACTCTAGCCATTGAAGAGTTTTTCTTTTTGAAGCACTACTAAGAGGGAGATGTGATGATCTCCAGAAGGTTTACGTAAGGTCAAGAAGCACAAGCATAGGAAATGCCCAGACCTGCCCAATGAGCTCTGCAGAAATCTCTGTTGGCTATGAGTAGCTTGGTGAGAGACACCATCATGTGTCCAGGCGGTAGAAAGCTGAACTTACTGTTTGCTGAGGAAAGCTATCTTTGCCACTCCTGCAGAGTTGACATGTGGCAACATCTGCAAGAACACAATGGGGATGTTGGCAAACATAGCTTACAAGTATTAATTGTATTAGAAGATGGTACAAGATAATAAATGAGATCTTGTCAGAGCTTGTCCATCAGCTGGGCTATAAGCCTTTCTATGTGAATAAGGGTTTAGATTAATTTCTGCTCCAAGCATGGGCAAATAGAAGGCAGCACCAACCCACACTGTCTTTGCAACTTGTAGCAGGCTGCTGGGTGGAGTTTCGAGTAATGACCACTGTTATTGGATGCTTCAGAAAGAATAGGACCAGTTTTGGAAGGGAGGTGTGTGAGTCCTGAGATCTGAGTGGGCTTTTTGCAGGGGTGGGAATATATTAACCAAGGTGGTTTCTCTGCCTCTAACAAAATACAATTAAAAGGACACTGCCCTGATGTAGCTCTCTTCTTTATGAGTGGCAGCATGATGAGAAGATGACTCTTAGTGTGTATGTCATTTATTATTATACAAACATTAACATGACATAAAATTGATTCTTGATGGCCGAAGAATCCTGGTCTTAAATGGTCTCATCTGGAAACATCAGAGACATTTTGGAATTGGAGCTCTCCAAAAACTGGGAACGGGGAATAATGGAAGGGAGCATGAGATACAAACCGAGGCCTGTTATCTGGCCAAGTTCTTCAGGGACAAAGATGGTATGCCATTGACAAGGTGCTTGGGAACTGTATTTGGGCTTTTGACGTAGCAGATAGTCTGCATGACTAGATTTAGAGTGCAATCAAAACTGTTTGTACAGTCAGACCTCAGCAGGGTGTATTTTGGTATCAACACCAAGATCAAGATTAAAAAAAAAAAAAAAGAAAAAGATAAAAGAAGGCAGACAAAACCCCAAGGCTGGGAGTTAAAGACCTGAGGCCTTCCTGTCCTCATTTTTGAATGAGGTTTATCTTTTGTTACAATTGCCAGTGGATTTTGGGTGTTTCAGTGTACCAGTCTAAATAGCATAGAGGACATCTATTATAAAATGTCATTGTGTTCTTGCTTCCAAAATAGCAAAGGAGATAAAGAAAGTACTTTGGAGATGAATGCTTATCTCTGTCTGCAGGAAGAGCAGTCGCCCCTTCCTTCCCCATTGTTCGCGCTGTCTCTGACCTGATCTGTGCTGTGGTTTTTGGACATTGTTTCTCTGGAAAGGACGAAACCTTCCGCCAGCTGATGGAAGCATACGATTGTATAGTGGCTTTTGGGAGCAGCTACCTTTACTATGTGAGAAAATGGCTTATTTAATATGCAAATTATTTGATTATTGAGCACACTATTGATTGCACTATTATGCAATATAATTATATTCTTATATATATTATTATAGTTATTGCATTATTTAACACACATTAAATGCTGATAAAAATTCTGACTATGAATATGAACCACACCTGAAGTGCTTTGGGTTTGACATCATTCAATTATTATATTAATATTATATTAATAATCTTTATTAGAAATTCTCAGCAAAGGCGATGTGCTTGGGATGCTGAACTTTTCTGTAATGGAAACATCAGTATTGTTAAGGTGAAAAGGCAATACTCTTTGTATCAGAATAAGAGAGAATGATTTCTTCTGTATGTTAAGGTAATATATACAAATGTTTATTAATACTAAATTTATTAATGTTAACACATGTTAAATCTATCTGCAAAAGTGGATTCTTTTATTGGTGAATTAATAGGGCAAATAAAATTAAGTTATGCAGTAAGGATAGGAAAGAATCCAAGGTGGAAACTGTGTTTTCTTTAATTTGTGGTTTTAATGTGTGTTCACGTACTCAACACGTACCCAACATTTCTCTTTGATGCTACAGTATTTTTTCTCGGAGAAATTAATTCAGCAATTTAGCACCCAAAATGTCCATGCTGTCTCTCTGTAATAGCCTCGCTCATGTCGTGTAACTTACCGCATCTATGTTGAATGCTGGCTCCACAGATATGTGAAATTTTCCCAAGGGCTGCAGAGCACCTCCCAGGACCTGCACAGAAAGCATTATTTCCCTGTGATTTCATTCGTTCTTTCATAAGGCAGGAAATCAACAGCCACAGAAGGGAAAGAGGAATAATAGATGAACCAGGAGATTTCATTGACTTTTACCTGGATCAGATAGAGAAAGTGAGTAATTTATGCTGTGTGTGACACAGATCCTATCCTAACGGCTTCCCTGCACCTTTCCTGCGGTTGTCTGTACATAGCAACATTATTACAGAGCTCTATAGATACAGTTTAAAAACTCTGCTGTCAAATTCAAATATGGACTTTGAATAGTTTGTTTAATAACTTGAACTTGTTTTAGAAGTATAAATTAATTACATTGGTTCTTTGTTATACTGTGGAACCCTTAGTGCAGTCTGGGCAGTGGGCAGTAGGGAGGACTTTGAAAAGGTGCAGATATTTGGATGGCTGTCTAATTCCAATTCTTTGTGTCTTAATATTTGCATTTATTATCTTTCTGCTTTTGTGTGCTTAGTGGTGCTGTATGATTATCATAACAATCTTAAAATGATGGCAGTCTCTGCTCTGAAAAAAGCATAAATCTTTTAAAATGATAACATATTATATATGCAATAGGTAGCTGAAATCAGCAAATGTGCAGAGAGTGGCAAGGGTGGGATAAAACTACTTTTTCTGATGTGGAAGTTAGCAGCAAGGCAACAAGTCACTCTAGAAGGCAGCATAACAGGACCTTAAACACGTGATGCTTTCAACAGCACCTGTAATTTAACAGTATAAATGTACTTATTTGAGGAAAATCTTTGCATAAATCTTTGTTTTACTAAATGCCTATATTATCTCCATCCTCTAGAAATACTGTTTGTTTAGGTACAGTGATTGCTGTCGGTCTCGGTGCTAACTGTTACACAGGTATACCCCATTTTACCTTACATTTGACACCTGTAGACTAAAAATATCCCCAGTTCTACATTTGATGAAGACAACACGGTGCAGTCTGTTTTTTACCTTTTCCTGTGTGGCTCAGAGACCACCGCCACCACTCTGTGTCGGGCTCTGCTCTATACGGTGGCTTATCCTGACATCCAAGGTCAGTTGTAGACACGCAAATGGGTATGTTTCAAGTAGAACAATTGTCTGTTACACAAATTTATTTTTTGGTTATGTTCAAGTTTTTTTGAAGATCAAGTTTTCTTTTCTTTTTTTTTTAAGATCACATTTTTGAGCTTTGCTTTTAAGAAGCCAGTAAAGTAGAAAATTTTCAGACAGATTTTTAAATAATTTCAGGGATATCCAGTTTCTGATACTGTATTTTGCCTTGTTGATTTTTGTCAGACTGTTTCAGTACTGTAAGCGTATAATGGAAGATACAGTCGGGCTGAAAATACTCGAGCTGAAATATGAGCTTGGGTTAAGGAAGAGTGACGCTTTTCTGGTATCCAGAATGTGTAATAAGAATATGTTATTTGCACTCATTAACTGAGACAGCAGTTGTATTTCTGTATAAGAAGTGTATTTATTGTTACGTATGGGAATGTTAAAGAGAGAAGGAAGACAATAATGGGAAGACAAAAAGATGACTGGAAAATTCTAGACAAGGGCATAGTTGCACACTAGTTTCAAAATTTTTGAATGATTTGATACCGTGCTTTCAGAGGTGAATTGCTCAGCCAAGTACATGCTCTTGACTCTCAGGTTTAGAGCTAGAAATCCTTCTTTTCATGCTTTAGGTGCTAGAATGTTGGAAGAACAGAGCCCTGTGCACACATACCTTTCAAGGTCTAGTGAAATAAAAAGCAAACAAAACCTCTTAGATTACTAGCCTAATTTTTAAGCATGAAATTTGACCCTGAGCCCTCCAAGACTGTACAAGCTATGTTACTTACTGAAGCCTAAATAACAGCCAAAAGAGATTAACCGTCGGTGATGGTTTGGTAATATTATCCTGTTCTGGTTCTCAGCATTACATACATGTATCAGCTTGATACGATGGCTCCCTTGCAACGTGCTGATTAGTGTCCTGTGAGTCTGTATTTAGCTGAAGTAAAAATAATAGCCTGAGTAACTGAATTGATCTCTTAATAAGAAGTTCGTGTTTTATTTGCAGTTCGCTCCCCTTCCTTTAACTATGAAGCTCAGTAAATCTGAGCACAAGCTTGGGCTTGTGGAAAGATGATCTGAACGTAGAACCTATAAACTAGGAAATACCAGAGTGTAGTAAAATCATAACTAGATAGTTGTATAAATGTATTTACATTTTAAGATATGGTAAGTATAAATTATTTACATATTGTATTTTTTCTATCACTGCTATAATCCAAAAAGGAAATAAAAGCTCTGTTTCATGCACAACAGCGTTATTGTATCTATAATGGACTTTTTTTTTTTTTTTTCAGAGCAACCATTGCAGAGGCATAGGCTCTACCTCCATAAAGGAAAAGCAACCCACAGCTCCCAAATGGGGTTCCTCAGTTGAATGCCAGCGCTTGTGAAAGAAGCTTACAAAGACAGTTGTATATCATCTTTACTCCTGCTGCAGGCAATGCAGCGGGAATTAGCTGAGAGGCAGCTGGAGGCGGTGAAGAAATTTTGCTTTCTTCTTGCTCATGAAGACCTTGCAGCCCCACTTACCCATGCAGCTGCATAGGGAGCGTGTGGACACTTAGGTGTTATGCCATTATAACCATCAAACTCTTGTTTCCCAGTGACAGATTAGAGTCTTTTTTTTTTTTATGTGCTCTAGGCACAAGATTAAAAGGTCCGGCCATCTCCCAAAGAGCTTATGATTTAAACCATGAGGGAAAAACCAAAATATTAAAGGAATAGCGGAGAACATCAGAATCAAGCAATAATATGAGGAGAGTGAAGGAGCAGTGCACGTGGTTGATGCATGTGATGGCTCATGATGAGCCTGAACTTTTCAGTCATCCCACTGGCCTTGGGTGTGTAGCCAGCCCTCAGGAAATTTTTTTTTATTTCTCTGTTCTTGGAAGAGGCTTTTTATGAAACCAGTACTGCCGGCAGGGATTTTTGTCGCAGCAACTGTCATGGCACAAAGAGGCATATAATTAACACGCATTTTATATCCCTTGAAGAGCCGATGATTGTCAGATTTGTAGCTGCAATATAATGGAATGATGTCATATATGCTTGAAAAGAAGAACACTTCATTCTCTGGGATGGGGAAGTAGAATAAAGTGATAAGGAGGGAAGGACTGAGAGGCACAGAAGCTTCAACATCTTTTTCTCTTTCTAGGGAGGTACCCGCAAAGCAAGATAAAGTGGATCTATCCTCTGTCTGTATAGCAGATTTTCAGAAACAACGTAGCCTTGTAAATCAGAAGTGGAATGTTAACAGTAAGTGTGCTGCTGGTATTTTTTGTGGTGTCTCTGCTGTTTATGCAGTTTCTGAAATTGCAATGGATGTGAAGATGGTTTCCTCCTGGACAAACTCCATACCCCTTCTTCAGAAATCCATTGCAGATGAACTTCCAAATTCATCATGAGATCCTTAAAAAAGTATGTATTTTCAGGCAACTAATCAATGGACTCATAAGCTGATTGAAAAGTAAATGTGAGTGTTTAACATAGTATTATTTTGAGTGCTAGGGAGGGATTTATTCTAAATAGTATAAATGTGAATATAGGTGGGGATCATTAAAATACCTCTTTCTTGGTATGAAAATTTCCAGCTTACTCTGAAACATGTCGTTAAAACCTTATGTGCAGATGAACAAAACAATACTGATGATAATATTCTTGTCTTATACATAGGAAAAAGATACATTTTAGAGTGGAGTCTTTAATTCTGTGCAGTCTTTTGCATGTCTGTGTATTGACTGTTGTTACACTGGCAGTCTCTAAATATCTCATGAAATAACTACTGAGTGCATATGTGTTGCCAGTATTGAAAGGGTGAATTTTTTTATACTTATTCAACAGATTTTTCAAAAGATCTTAGAATAAATTTTTTTTCTGACATACAATTTGGTCAGATTTTCACAAGAGACTTCAGTCTGCTGAGCCTGACTGAGCTTTTAAGTAGCTGAACTAATTCATTGTGTGCCTACGCTCAAACTCTTTTCTAAGTCCAGTTGTAATGCACAGCACTTCTAGAATTTGTATCCTAGTGTTTTATATTCCTTATATGTATATATAAAATATTTAACATTTAATAGCACCTCACTTTCATTCTTTGTTCTCAGCCTTCCTGTTCCCTGGTTCTGCCCTGTCCTGCCAGTTCTCTTCTCCCAAGTTGTCTATTTCAAGGCAAAGTAGTATGACTCCACAGCATAAAATTATAGCCAGTGCATGTCTGTTGTGTTTTCTTCTATTTCTGACCTCTCAAACCTGAAGAGCAGTATTGCTCATCCCAAGATTTCAAAAGCCATGAATTAGTCCTTCCAAAAATGAAACTAAACACAAATGTGCAAGCATGTGCATATAAATTTTTGCTCAGCCTGCATATCTGTTCCTTCTTGTTTGCTCCCAGGCAGCAAAATTTTGTACTCCTCTAATCCTGCAGTTCTTGGGTTGTTTTGGTAACTGCCCACTCTTCTCGGCCTACTCTGCCCCACAGACTTGTTACTTGGATCTACGCACTGTTGCACTTCCCTCAGCCTTTTACTTTTCCAGCTCCCGATTCTCCAGCTGGGGAAAGGACCGTCCTGCCTACTTCTAGTGGTGTCTGTGTGCATGGCATTGTGGACACAAGGCTATCACAGCCGAGCTGGAGAGGAGAGGGGGGTTCCTGCTTTACCCACCTCCTCAGCTGCTTTTGCTACACTCGATACTCAAAGGGGAATCTGTAGATGGTTCACGTAAAACTCATGAGCTAATGTTTTCTTCTTACAAACACGTAAGAATTCATCTGCAATGAGTTTGAGTTGTAAGACATGCAATAAATAACATCACAGACATTGGCAATATTGGCTGTCTGACATTTTAGGAACATCTTGATCTTTAGTAAACGAGACTTTAGATAGAAACCTGACTTCAAGCTATATTATATGTAAGAATAGATTTGATGTTGTCTTCTCAAGGTCAGTCACCCCTGGGGCATCTGCCAAGGGAAAAGATCTGGTTTGTCTTGTTTGATTTAAATGTACTGGTTCTCACCCACGTTGTTCTGATGCTGCTTTGTTCCACAGATGGCCAAAATTCATGGTAATGTCTTCACCTTATGGGTTTCAAACATTCCTATAGTTGCCCTGCAAGGGTTTCAGGCAGTGAAGGAAGGTCTGACCGTCCATGCTGAAGACATTGCTGCAAGGCCAACAAGCAGTGCCTTTCACATTTTGACTCATGGAAATGCTAATTATTGTTTCACAAATTCTTTTTGTGTGTTCTAACCCTGGTTTTGGAAACTGATTTAGAGCCTTGAAGTCCTTAATTTACGGTGGAAAAAAGGTTAATATTTTAATGAGTTTTTATGAAACATTTCTTTTTTTGATTCTGTCGGGATAATAATGGCAGAATATAGCTATTGTAAGAGTTTCTATACAGGGAACAGATGGCTAAACCAGAAGAAGAAAGGAGAGGAAAGACAAATGTTGCTGGACCACTGGCAAAAATTTGAAAAAATGAGAATGAAAGAGAAGCTTCTTTGATGTATTAACTGTACCAATTAATTAATTTATAAAGCATTAACAGCATTAGTTCATTATGATCCGAGGTGCTATGTTCTCTAATGGTTGTCTCTGGAAGCAACAGAGGCATTTTGGACTTGCAACAATGAGGAAAATGGGAGTAGGGAAAAAAGTCCAGGAGTATTCACTACAAGAGGAGGCCTGTCGCCTGGCGGAATACTTACAGAAAACAAACAGTATGTGACTCAGTATGCAGGTCACTCTGTGCAATGTGTGATTTTGCTGAAGGATGGGACACCTGAAACTATTTGATTACAAAAATGGATTTAAAGCGTATGTGCAGAGCTGAGTCTCAAAGGTCTGTATCGTATGATCTGCAAGAGACATTTCCTTGCAGAAGTGCTACATGTGAAACCCCACAGTATGAGCTTAGAACTGAGACTCCATGGTCCCTGTCTGTTAGTGTTATTACTTCTTAGTCAGTTTTACATTACCCCTGGTC